ACTAAAACATATGACCTTGATTACTGCCATTTTCATACAAGTCTGAACATCTGATGGCATAAATCCTTCTATATTTTTCTTCTTCTTGATTATCCTGACTGTTCTTGGCCAGTATTTCAATGTATAATAAATTTTGAAACTGGATAATCAGTTTCCACGAGCTACCTGCTCAGATGCTTTAGTGTGGCTGTTTGAAACCATCGATAAATTTGGAGAGAACAGGCATCTTAATAATACAAGGGAAACAAAACAAAACAAACAAAACACCAAGAAAACCAATCCAAACCTGAAGGGAAGTAGTTGAGGCAGGCCTGTGAAGAGATTACCTACTTCTCCCTGTAGAGCCAAGTCCCTTAGATAGGGGTTGCCACAGAGGAGAAGGAAATGAATAGAAAATAGAATAAAAGAATACACAGAGATTAAGGTATAGTTTATAGTTCTATATAAAAAGATCAGATATAACAGCAGGGTTACTCAGGAGACGGGACATATCCCGGCAAACGTCTAGCAATATGGTTAGATTCAGGTTTCTATAATCACAGATATCAACTATCAGTTGTCAGGGTAACATATTTGCATATCAGGGAATGCAGCTGCTAGGGGAGACAGGATGATACAGGTAGTGGGTTAGGGTCAAAATTCCTCTCAAAGGGCTTCTAATCTATCTAGGTGAACAAACAGGTACAAAGTTTTTCAGGGGCTAACTTCTAAGTTCTAACAGGTAGTTTTCAATTAACAGAGGTATAACAAAAGAGGCATAGTGACTCTCTATTTGTTTGATTAGTAATTGTGGACTTACAGGTAGACAGACAGGAGAGAGCAGGAAGCCCACCTCTAATAAACAGGTTGTTTATAACCACTGGTGCATATCTGGGCAATGGGCACTCATTGTCTCCAGCTGCCATGCTGAGGGCCATATTTGCCTTGTCTTTCAAGACAGGGAAGCTCACCAATTTTGAGATACAGGGAAGCCTTCCTGGAAAACATCCCTACTGGAGATTTGAGAGCTCTCCCATGATAGCAGCCTCTAGTAAGTGAACCACTGAGTCCACACATTCCTTCAGGGCAAAACCCTGCAAACTCCTGTTTCTGTCTTTAATGTAGTAATATTGGGTTATAGAATAATGGTCTTATGAGCTACATCTCATTAATTCCTCAATCATATTTTCCCAACACAAACCAAAAGTAAACACCATAATAAAAAATAATAAATGGGGAATACATATTTACAACTAATATCACAAAGGGGCTTAAATCTTCAATATATAAAGAACTCCTAGAAATTGATAAGTAAATAAACAGGTACAAAGTAGAACAATAACTCACAGTTCACAGAAAAAGAAATGTCAATATGTTTTAAAACATGAGAATATGCTGAGGCTCAGCATAATATGACAATATGATGAAATTCAAAGTTTGACAGCACACTTTGGCACCATGTGGCCACACCCAAATACACTGGTGTTGCCCACAGGCCCCAAAAGGCCTGGAGTGCAAGAGCTGGCAGAGACTGAAGGTGAAGAATCACATAGGACTGGCTTGAAGAGCAGAGCTGTGGGTGCACTGTGCATGCCCACTCAAATGGTGACAGGAGACCTGGCTTCCCTATGCTTTCTGCCCATGCCACAGGCCATGACAGGAGGCCTGTACCCTCAAGTGTGACTGTGCTCGGCCCATGCTGACATCCTATGTGCTGTTGATGAATCCCAAAACTGTGTCCTCACTCAATACACACTTACTCAAATTCTCATTGCATAATTGGGAAACTGAGGCAGAGAATGAGGAAGGCACTGGCCCATACCAAGGGGGTGGACAAACCACAGTGCATTAGGAGGCACTCTTACTTCCTAGGCCTTGGCCCACCTTTTCCCATCAAATTTTCTTTGAAAATGGGAGTCTCTAAGAACCTGAAAGACCCCTGCTCACTGCCATTCCACCTGAGGCCACTTCCCTTTACACATCTCCACATGAGTTCAGACAACCACACACACACACAGTGTGCACAGTGAATTCTCAGATGAGAGCATGGATGTTGAGTAACAGGAGTAGACACTAGGGATGTGAAAAGAGAAAAAGAATAATTGAAGGTGGCTGCGCCATGAGGAAGGGGCATCCACTTCCTACCTACATAACGAGGGACCCAGAGTAAGAGCAAGATGAACATCCAGGACCCCACCGTTCTGTTGGGACTGGGGTCACAAAAAACACAACCTTGAGAGGGCAGGCCTTGGGTCCTGTCCTCACCTTCGTGGGCCCTGGAGGCTAGCATGAGCCTGATGCACAAAGGATAGAGGAGAGAAATCCAGTTCCCTCCTGTATAAATAGAGTGTTTACAGTGGGTAACCCCAGGAGTTCAACATAACCATAAGTATCTGCTGGCCTTGGGTCTCCTTTGGTGACTCACTGTGCTCTGAGATGCTAGAAAAATGCATTTCACTCCCTGGAGAACCTTCAGAACAGAGAGAGAATTGGAGGCTTACGAGGATGAGGACTTGGACTAGGGCAGAATGTTGGAGAGCCCTGGACACCAAGCGTTAGGTCCAGGGAATACACAAGGTCTTCTTGGGTCCTTCATGTCCTCATTTGGAAGTTGGTAGAAATCGTTGCCCTGGCTGAGGTGACCATGCCTCATGAATAAGCTGCACACCCCAGGAGGTGGAGGAAAAGAGGAGGAAAGGCAGGCTCCGGGGGTCCTTCTTCCTGCCCTTGGAGCAAGAAGATCCTGCTCTTTGGTCCCTTGGAACCCTGGAGAGCCACTCTTTTGGAGATCCTTCAGTGCAAGTGGCCAGTTTCTTCTCTAATGCTCCTGCCTGGGGTTGCGTTTATCGTGCTGGCCACAGGAGGCAGCAGGCTCCCGTTTTTCTGGTTTTCCCTGAGCTTGGCTGGAACAGCTGGAGCCAGGGGAGACTAACCCCAAGGTCATTCTGTCCATTCCTTGCCTCAGACCCAACTTGAACATCCTGCTGTTACCAATGACCTCCACATAATGATGTGGTCAGAAGCAGGAAGGCGGCTTTGAGATCCCCACATTTGTTCACTCAGCAAAACGGCCCCGGACACTCACCCTGTGCCAGGTGCCCAGGTGGTCCAAGCATGTGGAGTACCCCAAGGAGCCCCCAGTTTGAGAACAGCTGGACAAAAACACTAAACCAAGTACCTGTGGAAAAAGAGTCAGTGCTATAGTGGAAATAAAGCATGAGGAAGGCAGGGAGGACTATGAAGTCACTGTGTGGTGACTTCAAAATGCCTCACTGAGGTGAAATGCCGTGACCAAAATGACAAGATCTGGAACCATGGAAGTCTGAAAACTGCGTATCAGGGAGAAGCCACCCTGTGTGTAACCAGTCACAGGTAGAATTGACTTTACAGAGGTTAGAAAAAGGACACTGTGGCTAGAGGGAGCCTGGGGGAGAGAGGAGCAAAGGAAGGGAAGATCCTGGGGCTGAAAGATGAGGGGAGTGATCTGCTCTTCTATGAAAACACTGCTCCAAAACCTACCACCTTTACACAACAAATACTTACTGCCTTACAACTTGTGTGGCCCACAATTTGGGCAGAGCTTAGGGGGTGCCTCTGCCTCAAGGCCTCCCAAGAGTCTGGGGCTGTGGTCTCAACTGAAGTTGGACTGAGAAAGAATCATCTTCCAAGCTCACACATGTGAAGATTGGGAGGGATCCGTGTAGACTAAGAGCCTGATTTTCTTTTGGTTCTGTCAGTTTCACTCCCTCAGTTCTTTGCCATTCAGCCTCTACAAAAAGCAGCTCATAGCGTTAGAGCTTGCTTCACCAACTTTAAGAATACATGGGGAGTTCAATGGATGGAACACATGAGAAAGGAAATAAGAAGGAAATAATAGCTTTTGTCAAAATCCATTTCTGGAACTCACAATGGACTTTTGTCTAAAAATTCATGTTGAACTCTTATCCCCAATGTGATAGAATTAGGAGATGAGTCCACTGATAAATTATTAGGTCCAAGAGTGAAGCCCTCATGCTTGCAATGACTGGCTTTCTACAAGAAACCCCAGATAGCTATCTTCTCTGTCTGCCATATCAGTATAAAGCCTGAAGTCTGCAACTAAGAAGAGAGTCCTCACCAGAGCCCAGGTTGCTGGCACCCAGATCTGGAACTTTCAGCCTCCAGAACTGTGTGCAATTAAACTCAGTTGTTTACATGCTACACAGGCTATGGTTCTTTGCAATAGCAGCATGAACTAACACAGAAGTAATAGCTAATCATTTCTGTGGTGTTCTGCCAGTCAGAAGTGAGTCACTAACCACTGATTGCTATGAACCTTTAGGCTGCACACCACACAGGCTGAGATGAGGCACATGGATCTGATTCTAAATATATTGGGAAGGCAGTGGAAGGTTTGATGTCACAGGATGATAATATTTAGATTTAATTTAAATTTCTTTCTTGTGCAGAATGAAAAATGAGGCCCAGAAGAGAAGTGACTTTCGCCAGATCACAAAGCTGGACTCCAGGCATGTCTGAGGTGTATTCTATGCTACTGTCTTTACCTTCTTCTCATTTTTCCAACTCTTAATTTGTGCATTATCTACATGTGACATCATATTATGAGCTTTATAAATTTTATCTGACTTATACCTGGTTAGTTGCTAGGCAATAGATACTAGGATAATCCCCACTGTGCATGGTGGGAGGCTAGGGAGGCCCTGAAACACAATATGACTTGTCTGGGACAGAGAAATTGTAAGAAAAAGGAGCCTATAACCTAGCTCCATCTTCCCAAATCTGCAGCCCTGGCTGCATTTAGGTTTTCCCATGGTAATGGAAGGGGGTCTGTTTGCTTATAGATAGGTGACATGGGGAAGGGGGGTGACCAGTCAGTAGCACCGTGTGGTCTTTGGGAAGCTCGTATTGAAGGAGTGGAACAAAGGGACAAAACCTTGAAAAGATGACTTCACTTCCCGGTGACAGATACAAAGAGAACTTAGAACTCTGGTAACCAGGCACCCACAATCTAGAGACAGCTTCATATCCAGCTCACTTGGTGAGATATGCTCAAGCCAGGATGATGTCATCTTCCTATATCCTGATGTTCCAAGGCTCCTACCTCAGAAAAGTGTGACATGAGAGCCTTTACTGAGTATGCACATGTTTACCCACCTGTTGTCTCTGGTCATTTGGCACGAGGCACCCACAGGTAACACAGGTCTGGCTCATCCAGACCAGGCCTCATCTGCAATCCCATCTGGGCATCCCACCACCCTCCTCATTACCATCTGTTAGGGAGGAAAGAACGAAGGGGTGCTTCCTAGAAATGAGCAGGTTGTCAGTTATTGGAAGCCTGGTGGGTCTGTCAAGTTCATACCCCAGGTCATGGCTGCTATGATGAGAGGCGAGTGTTAGGGACCAAGTTTATCTGCTTAGATATTAAACCTAAGACTTCAAGTTTTTATCTGGTTCCCTCCCTGGCTTGATTTTTATGTGGATCTCCTATGTGCCTGACAGAGCAGCAGAATTTCTAATGGCGGTGTTCCCCTATGGGGCAGCCCAGAAAGGCCATTGATGACTCTTGGCCAGACTTCATGCACTCTGTTTGCATAGTTCCACTCAGTACATGAGTGAGGAACTGTTCAATGGGTCTAATTCCTTCACCTCCTTGGATGGAATGCAAGTGCACCAGGCCAACAACTGTGGCCAGTGCCAGGCTGGGATGAGAGTGGGCATGGTGCGATCTCCACAGACAGGCTCCTGAGAAGGTCACAGTAGATCAAGGACCCAGACCTAAATATGGGGATTCCTTGGGCTCTGCCCTGTGGTTTTCTCACTTGAGTCACCAACAGTTCTCTTCCAAGGGAATCTGGCCTCTTTTAATCCCCAATGGCAACTTAGCTGCACAGTCCCTGCTCACATACTTGTAGTAATATCAGAGTAAACACTTTTGTGTTGTTTTTACTTTATACCAGCCCATTGGCAAATTTGCATGTTACTACTGCTTTTGTATTGAACCACCAACCCTGCACAATCACTTGTATGCTCAAAATTAAAGAAGATAGACATAAGCAGTTGAAGAAAACAAAAATAAATGAAAATATATTCCTTGGTCATGGCTTGGCAGAATCAATACTGTTAAAACGTCTACACAAAATAATCTAAAGATTGGATGTAATCCCTGTAAAAATGTCATTGAATTCTTCACTGAAATAACAAAAGAAATCTTAAAATTCATGTTATTATCACAAAAGACCCTGAATGTCTTTTGTGCATGTCTTTTGTGTAAGATGTGCAAGAGACAGCTTCAGCAGATGTCTAAGAGGCAGCTCCATTTTCCTGCCATATCTACTCTAAGACTTAATGTCAACACTGTGACTAGGGATGTTGTTATACAAAAAGACAGCAATTACAAAACAATGGTGTTAAACGACTTTGTCTGCAAAGTATCATCTCACAGAAAACATTTCTGTAGCCCTATCACAGCAGGGGCTGTGATCTCACAGGTCTTTCTTATCTTCATTATATTTCACGAGGAAGTTTCCTATCATCTTTCAGCATTTCAGTGCTGTTTAAGCCTGACATGATTCAATTCCATTTCCATTTTATCTGTGCTACAGGGAACATCCTGTGTGTGTCCTAATAGGATGTAACAGGTTTCTAAAACTGCCATAACAAAGCCACATAGACTCAGGGCTTTAACAATGGAAATTTCGTTTCTCACAATTCTGTAGGGTAGAAATCCCACACTAAGATGTTGGTTGGGGTGTGTCCTCTGAGGCCTCACTTCTTGGCTTATACATGTCCAACTTCCCTCTCTGTGTTTGCAGGGTCTTCTCCTGTGCTTCTGTGTACTACCTGACTCTTCGTATGAGTCCAGTCTTTTGAGATTATGGCCCACCCCAAAGAAATCAATCTTAATTACATTTTTAAGGACCACAGGTCCAAATACAATCACATTCTGAGGAATGAGGTATTAGAACATTATATCAATTTGGGGGAGAAGATACAATTTATTCCCCAAAATATACTAGCCATGAGAAGGGAGGTCAGAGGTGTCTTATCATGGCCCCTCCCTTCTTGGAGCTGTGCTTTGTAACTCATTATCAGGCCTGAGGCCAGGCAAGACAAACCTGCAGGTCCTCAAAGTACACAACAAATAGGTGGCTTGTCTCTGATTAGCAGACGTCCTTCACTTAAAACATTCCAGGCTTTAGCCAAAACTTCATTTCTTTAACCAATTACAAGTCAAAGAATCTTTAAACAAACCTATAACCTCTAATCACTCCCCCATTGAGATGTTCCACCTATTCCTGCTAAACAATTGTATGCCTTCCACATAATGATTAATGACTTTGCCTGCAATCCCTGTTTCCCTGAAATGTATAAAATGAAACAGTAACCCAACCATGGCAAGTTCACTTGCTGAAGGCTTCTTGGGCATTGCTTGAGCCATGGTCCTCAAGTTTGGCTCAGAATAAACCTCTTTAAATTATTTTACAGAATTTTGCTTCTTTGCCATTGACACCAGACACCAAGCTGAAGGCCAACCCTTCAAGTTGACTATCCTGGAGTCCCCGGATCATATTAGGGAGACATTCCTGTTCTGGCAGGTGCAGGATCACCACCTTAAAATGGAATGTGAGAAACCAGCAAGTGAAAACACAGAAATGTGGAGGGACAATGTGATGTATTATGAAATGTCATATGGATTAAACACTGAAATGCACAAACAGACTGAAATGAACAAGAAATTCAATGTGACTTGTGCACAAGTCATCCCATTTCTGTCTCAGGAACATCAACAACAGGTGTTCCAGGCCTTCAAGCCTGCCACACCAGTGACCCTGGCAGAGTTGAATGTCATCCTTGTGCTACGGCAGTTGCAAGCTCAGTGTTTACGGCAGTGCCACAGACAACCAGTACCCCTAATGTCTTGCCCTTAGGGACTTCAGCCTGCAGGAATTCTGCCCATCTGGGGCAGCGCCCACCTGCTGGCACTGTCTAGTTCTCTGACTGGGCAGTCTCACTTGGCAATAAAAGATGGCAAGAAGCACCACTATGCAGAGCACCTCAGAGACAGTGTGTCAAGTACAAGTAATTCCCTCTTGGTCCCAGACAGTCCAAAATGCACAGATAAATGCAGAAATGTGCCTAAGATCTCCAACTACATGGAGGAAAGGAAGGTGGATGATAAGGACTCTACCCTTCCCCAGGGATTGTGACAACTTAGGTGTGGATGTGTCTATTCAGGACCTTTCAAAAAACAATCACTGCCCATGCACCTTTGGAAAATGAAACTAACAAAAAATTGCATGCCAAAGAAAGATGATTCCAGCAGCCCAGCCTCCATGGCCACCTTGAGAAGTTCCACTTCCTTGAAATCCAAAGACATGAGCTTGCATGAAAAAGCCAGCAGGCCTGTTCTGGAATGCAGCACACCAACCCCTCAAAGTGACGTGCCCATGCTGGGCATATTGCTACTCCAGGACTCTATCCAGGCCTCAACAAGCCTCCAGCCATGGACCACCTCATTAAGCAAGTGGCAGAAGGTTTGAGATCACCCCTGGAAATGCCCAGCTTTGAACACTACTCCCTTTAGGATGGTTCCCCATGCTAGCAAGAACAGCAAGCTGACCAGCCCGGGTGCCACTTACAAAAGGCTGCACATCATGTTTCCCCAGATAAGCCTGGATGCAGGGGTGGCCTAAGTGTGCTTCCCAATGCTGGGGTTTGATCCCATCCCTCACATCAGAGTACCTATCCTCCCTCCAAACCTGGCAAGAATCTCTGGGTGGAAACCTACATATGCCTTCCACATTACTGCAAGGGGTCAGAGGCAGCCTGTTCCCATTACCCTGATGCCCTCTTTGGACCTGGCATCCCCCAGCATGCTCACCAGATCAACACCCTCAACCAGGGTGAACATCAGCAACCCCACGAGACACGTGTACATGAGTAGTGAGCGATGCATCAAGGCCTGGGACATCAACCCCCTGGCAATAAGAGTCCTGTCTCTCAGCTTGACTGTCTGAATAAACATAATTATGTCCATTTCTATAAATTGCTACCTGATGGTGGCACTCTGGTAGTGAAAGGGGTAGCCAGTACTTTTCTCATTTGAGACCTGGCAGTTCATGCATCAAGGCTGAACTGACATCCTCAGCTGCTGCCTGCTATGCCCTGGCCATCAGCCTGAATTCCAAGGTCTGCTTCTCATGCTGTGATGTCACAGATCTGCACAACCAGACACTAGTGAGGCCTGGGGTTGGTGTGGTTGGAGGCCGGGGGCCAGACTGGGCAGGGAGGGATGCATAGCAACATGGCCCCTTGAGGCGTTGCACCTGCCCCCATCTGTAGCCATACCGCCCTGAACACACCTGATCTCAGAAGCTAAGCAGGGGTAGGCCTGGTTAGTACTTGGATGGGAGACCCCCTGCGATTACTGGGTGCTGTAGGCTTTTGCCCCTTCATCTGCTCCCCCACCTGGGGGGAATGGGAACCCCTCTGCCCTCTGCAGCTGCCCCAGTTCCTGCCCCCGGACCTGGCACCAGACCCTGCCCTGTGGCCTCCTCCCGTCCCCTACTGCAGAGCTCCACGCAGCAGCATGGCGTCCCAACCCTCCTGCCTCACAGCCACGCCCAGCCCTGGGCCCACACTGGGCTGGCAGCAGGATCCCAACCTGCCAGGTCTTTCTCCCACACCAGGACATTCCTTACACCAGGCGTGGACCAGCCGACGCCACGAAACCGTTCCCTTGGTTCTTGGACCCCCAGCCCACCGACTTCCACTCCATCACGCACGCGGGCCTCAGGCCCAGGCCTCACGATGAACACACTCCTCGCCAGAGCTCGAGAGAGACACACCAGGGCACTCACATGGTAAGATATAATAGCATCAAAAATTAGCCTGCTGTCCTTTTGCTATCAAGAGTACAGAAGGCTTATCAATAATACTACATTTATTACTAAAGATCACACTAAGCCTTTTGTAAACTGCTTCATTGGAAACAAAAAATTATTTAGCCTTCGTGTATGCGAAGTGAGATAATAAATTGATATTTAAAGCACAGTTATAATCAGTTATACAATTTGCATCCAGACAGATTCCAGACCCCATGTGCAACCACTATGGCCTACTGCCTTGTAAAAACACATAGGACTAGGGGGAGAGGGGACATGGGCAGTATATGTAACCTTAACATTTGTACCCCCATAATGTGCTGAAATTAAAAAAAAAAACACATAGGATCATTAACTTGTAGTCTATTTTTTGTCTTTGAGACCCAAAACCTTTTACCTCAAGGAGAGGTTTTCTCAAAGGACCGAAAAGTTGAAGAACATACTGTCAGAAATATTTTATCATCCTTGATTGGCAATTGTATTTCTCTGGGTAATTACTAGTTCAGCTTGAAAACACATTTGTTTGCCTTCACTTCTGTGTTGTTGTTTTGTAGATCGTGTCTTTCGCAGCAATGAGACTACTGAAAATGTGTAGGAAGAACTAGCACCAGTCATCGCTCCTGCCATACAAGGCTACAGTGGTTTGTGTCCCCTCAGTGTTGCAGAAACATTTTAGTCTTGGGTGTCTGTGCAGCAGGTATTGATAGTTTTACTCACTGCAGATTTGCTTTTAATCTTTGTATGTGTGTTTTGTTTGTTCAGGGACTATATGACCTCAGGCTTCTCTACTAGTATATATTAATATAAATCTAAAATACCACAACTATAAAAAATAGTTATTTGTATAATCTGTTATGAAATAGATGATGGGGAAAGTTGGTTTCTGTATACAAAATGTGAGATATTGTAATTGCTTAATCCAGATACATTCCAGTCCGAGACTCTGTCTCAAAAAAAAAAAAAAAAGAAAGAAAGAAAGAAAAAGAAAAAAAGAAAGAAAAGAAAAAAAGGAGAAAGCCACAGACTGATAATCACAACCTCCTAATGGGGTTCAGAAATGTATATATCATCATAAGGTTACAGAAAAAATGGGGGCTTAGAGCATGGCCCAAAACAGGTTATAGTTGTGGGAGGGAGGGAAGGGGAGACCTGGCTAGCAAAGGAGGTCTTGTTATGTAGATCATCAGTCCCAACCTTTCAGGCACCAGGGAATCGAAAACAATTTTTCCATGGATAAGTGTGAGAGATAGTTTGGGGCTGAATCAAGTGCATTACATTTCTTGTGCACTTTATTTTTATTATTATTACATTATAAAATATAATGAAATAATTATACAACTCACCATAATGCAGATGCAGCGTAATTGTTACTTGCCACTCACTGATCTGGTTTTCATATGTGTCTGCAAGCTGTTGATTTTTTATGGTCTCTGTGCAGTCAAACCTCTCTGCTAATAATAAGCTGCATTTGCAGGCACTCCCCAGTGCTATCGTCACCACTTCATATCATCAATCATTAGATTCTCATAAAGAGAATTTAGATCCCTCACATGCACAGTTTACAGTTGGGTTTATGCTGCTCTGAGAATCTAAGGCCCTGGAGGTGGAGCTCAGGCAGTGATGGGAGCAATGGGGAGTGGCTGGAAATACAGAAACAGCTTCCCTCATTCACCCACTGCTCGCCTCCTGCTGTGTGGACCAGTTGCTAACAGGCCACCTAGTGGTACCAGTCAGTGATCAGGGTTGGAGACTGGAAATGGAGATGAAACCTCACAGTTGCACAGTTGCAGAAAGAATAGATGGTAAATGTTTCCTTCAGACCTGGCAGAGGTGGGAAAACTGAAACTTTGGGGCCTCATGTGGCCCTCTGGATCCTTGAGGGCAGCCTTTTGACCAAATCCAAATTGTCCAGAACAAATCCTTCTAATAAAGGGACTTTTCCCGTGAAGTTTGGATTCAGCTGAGGAGCCACACTCTGGGAGCTGGAGGGCCACCTGTGGCCTTGAGGCTGCAGGTTCCCCACCCCTGTCACACTCTCAGTTAAGCTTCTCTAGATCCAGACAAGAGGGGGCCTCAGAGAAAGCCTGGCTGGATGAGTGCAGACACTCTATAGATGCAAACCCCTCACAAAAGACGGGTTTGTAAAAACACTTCTGTCTGCAGCCCTTCTGAACAGCCATCACAAAGAAGTATATTTGAGGTTAAAATGTATTGATTTCCTTCAGTAGTTTGATCATTTCATTTATGAAAGACTATTTTATATGAATTTCAGTAAAAAATACCTACTACATGCATTATTTGTTACCTCTACTTTTAACATGCATTGTGCACTTGTAGACATCTAGAAAGATTAGGTATTACAAATAAGGACTTAAGTTTGTCTACCATATAAATAGTAGTATTAAATAAATTACACATATATATCAATGTTTATATATGAAAATGTCTTCTAATAGGAACATTTTGGACTAGAATCCTTTTTTTTTTTTTTGTGAGACAGAGTCTCACTTTGTTGCCCAGGCTAGAGTGAGTGCCGTGGCATCAGCCTCGCTCACAGCAACCTCAAACTCCTGGGCTCAAGCGATCCTCCTGCCTCAGCCTCCCGAGTAGCTGGGACTACAGGCATGCACCACCATGACCGGCTAATTTTTTCTATATATATTAGTTGGCCAATTAATTTCTTTCTATTTATACTAGAGACGGGGTCTGGCTCTTGCTCAGGCTGGTTTCGACTCCTGACCTTGAGCAATCCGCCCATCTCAGCCTCCCAGAGTGCTAGGATTACAGGTGTGAGCCACCGGGCCCAGCCACAATCCTTCATTTCTTCTGACTCCTTTACCATATATTGAGTAAAGGCACATGCTGAACTTTGATGTGGCATTTCAATTTCATTACCTAAAGTCCTTTTTGGGAAACTCCCTTTCTGGGTATTTTAACATAAGTGTACAAAATGTGTTAGTTTACTAACTCTACTTTTATCATTCTTTGGCAACCTCTTTAATATCTAGAGTCATGATATAAAGTTAAAATTAAAACTCATTTGGCCAGTATATAGATAAGAATTCTTTTACAACATTGTAAAGTCAAAAATCCTAAGACACATTCTTGTTGGGGACCATCTGTGTACACATTATATACAGTATAGCAAAGTTAAATGAAATGAATGTAACATATGAGATAATAGGTAAGCTGAAATTTTCTATTTTTAATACCAGAAAACATTGTGCCTTTTCCCCCCCTTTGATCTCTGTCAACCCAATGAATGAGTAAAGAGAGTATAGTGTTCACAAAGGTGGTTTAGCAATTTCATGACAAAGATAATTTCTATTAGTGTGGAAATCTATTTACAAGAAGTTTTATTCCAATAATTTCACTTTTAAATATATGAAATACTTCTAAATATGTTCGCAAACTACTTTGTATAAAAATTTTTCCACCACTATGTACACAAGACTTTTTTTTTTTTGAGACAGAGTCTTGCTCTGTTGCCCAGGCTAGAGTGAATGCCATGGAGTCAGCCTAGCTCACAGCAACCTCAAACTCCTGGGCTGAAGCAATCCTGCTGCCTCAGCCTCCCAAGTAGCTGGGACTACAGGCATGGGCCACCATGCCCAGCTAATTTTTTCGATATATATATTAGTTAGCCAATTAATTTCTTTCTATTTATAGTAGAGACAGGGTCTCGCTCTTGCTTAGGCTGGTTTCAAACTCCTGGACCTCGAGCAATCCGCCCACCTCGGCCTCCCAGAATGCTAGGATTACAGGCATGAGCCACCGCGCCCGGCCTCTTTTATGAGACAGAGTTTCCCTTTGTGCCCAGGCTAGAGTGAGTGCCATGGTGTCAGCCTAGCTCACAGCAACCTAAATCCTAGGCTCAAGAGATCCTACTGCCTCAGCCTCCCAAGTAGCTGGGACTACAGGCATGCACAACCATGCCCAGCTAATATTTTATATATATATATATATTTAGTTGGCCAATTACTTTCTATTTTTAGTAGAGGCTGGGCCTTGCTCAGGCTGGTCTCGAACTCCTGAACTCGAGCAATCCACCCACCTCGGGCTCCCAGAGTGCTAGGATTACAGGTGTGAGACCCACGCCCGGCCTACACAGGACTACTAAATAAAATTGCACATATGTAATGATGGCTATAGCCTGAGGTACCATTTAAACATGACCATCTTGGCCTTGAAGCATCCAACCTTCACTTCCTTCTCTCTGCCATCAGCCCAGTGGGCTAGCACAGGCATGGGTAATGCTGTGAGATGGTTGAAGAAGTTCATAGCCCAGAGTCATTTTCAGAAAACAAGCTGATCTATGACTTTCAACACAAAATGAATAAAAAATGCTAATTTTAGTAACTGTTTTGTCATGCTACTTTAATATCTACAGAGTAGACGTTGCAAAGTTGGGGTTCCCCTGCCCATTATACACAGTATTTACACAGCAAAGTAAGACAAAATGCACAAACATGACGGATGACGGCTAATCTTGCTTCGCTATAAACACACTGGCATACAGCTCCCTGCACTGCCTTCTCCTCCTTCTCACCGGTGCGCACAGCGCGCACTGTTCCAAGAGGTCATTTGGCCATCCCCCCGAGAAAGATACCCCATATACATTTTAACAAAAAGAATTATATGTTGGGTGTGGTAGCTCACGCCTGTAATCCTAGCACTGGGAGGCTGAGGCAGGCGGATTGCTCAAGGTCAGGAGTTCGAAACCAGCCTGAGCAAGACCTTGTCTCTACTAAAAACAGAAAGAAATTAATTGACCAGCTAAAAATATATATATGAAAAATTAGCCAGACATGGTGGTGCATGCCTGTAGTCCCAGCTACTCAGGAGGCTGAGGCAGGAGGATCGCTTGAGCCCAGGAGATTGAGGTTGCTGTGAGCTAAGCTGATGCCATGGCACTCACACTAGCCTGGGCAAGAAAGCGAGACTCTGTCTCAAAAAATAAAAATAAAAATGAAAGAATTATAAAATATCTTATTTTTTACTACTTCTACTTCTAACATATACCAGGCACTTCAGAACATCTACAAAGACCACACATTATTTACAAAGTACTTAGCATAGTAAACAATATATACAGTGGGCTAGGATGAGGTTAGGAAGTGGGTGGGGTGGTCCGACCACCTGTGCTCTGCTGGGTTGTGGCCACACAAGGGGCAGACCTGCTGCCACAGTTCCCCACTGTGGGCAGAGGGTCAGAGCTGGGTGGAGCTGCCCTTGCTTTTCTCCTTTGAGGTCAGGTGGTCAACCGACAGGCAGATAGTGAGTGACCACTAGAGGGCAGTGGACTTGGCAGCTGGTTTGAGCAGTGGTCAGGTGGACCACGTGTCCCCCGCAGGAAGGGGACTTTGCTACTCCCGGAGCGGTCACACAGATGTTCCACCACTGGTCTGGAGAGTGGTTAGGTAAAGCCAGTGTCCCCTATAGGCAGGGGACTTATTCACTGGTCACGGGGGTGACTGGGTAGATCATATGGGTGCCAAGGCTACTACATTGTCTCAGAAAATCAACCAGATCAGGGATTGGGGGTGGAGTGGTGAGAGGGCACAGCTGGGTGGCCATACGTCCATAGGTGACATTCATTTTTGGGGTGGGTGTGGTAGGATTCTGGTTTTTTTAGCCAAAGTAATATGTTTTACTAAAAAAAAACACAATATTATACGTAGTAAATCTATATATAAACTAAACATACCCAAAATTATTGTTATCCATCATCATCATTATGACTGGTATTAGTCGTAGTGGCTGTTGCAGTTGCAGGGTGGTGATAAGAACTCCGTACAGCTCTGCCC